TTGAAAGAGGTATATTTTTTGGAGAAATTGATTTTTGGAAGTGAATGGTTTTGGCTTTCTTCTTCTTCATCTTGATACTCTTTTGATATTGATTGCTCCTTTTTTTTTCGAAAGAATACCTCATTTTTTGTGTCACAATAAAAAAGTAGAAAGCCAAAACATGTCTTTCCCAAACATTTGAAATAAATTATTGTAGATAATTTTCATTTAAACTGATGCATCGGATGAAAGTTTATGAGCTGATTCATATCATCTCATAAACCGAATTTTGCCTTTCACTCTTAGCCAAATTCACATTATATATATTTTCTTCTCATTCTATATATGGTAGTAATTTTTTTTACCGTAGTGTGCGCATTTCAGCCCCTATGCCCCGAAGTCCCGGTACATTCGAGAGGGCACGTCAGCATTATCAACCAATGACCACTCCCTACACCGTGGGGTAAGTGATCAGTGGGTCCGAGAATCATATGACCTGAGCAAGCGCAGTGAGCCAAGAATGACAGCCTTTTGAATCTNGGCATAAAGTTTAAGATCATCCATATAAAACAAATGGGTGACCTTGTGCCTCCGGTTTCCTGGGGTGCCACAGTTATACCCTCGAGTATTTCTGAGCGCAACGGATAATGGCAATTTTGAGATGCAAAAGAGAAGGGGACTGAGAAAATCACCCTGAAATTCACCCCTTCTGAAAGTGACCCACCCTGTTTGGACTCTTGCTTGACCGGATGTTATGGTGAAGCTAGTTCGCCAAAGTGGTATCAGTTGTTATGCATCTCACTATTTTGTCGGGTACCGCAAGGCATCTGAGCAAATGCAAGTTTATTATTATTATTAAAAAAGCTCATGGAACCTCAAACATCTATTCATATTCATCATTCAATAGTAAAAGTATTTGTGAAACTGTAGGTAAGTTTCATCTTAGAGTATACTGAGTTGAAAGACACTTCGGTGATACATTGCTCTGCTACATAAATTAAGATTATATCTTGTTTTTATATAAAAATGTGAACTAATTCGTATCAATATTATTATTGTCATCGTTCGAACAAATTATAGAGAATCTCAGGATCCTTGAAGTTTTTTATCCGATGAAGTATCCGCCATAAATATGAACCAGTGTGTTGCTTCTTCATAAGGGATTCAGTATATCCTTTTTAACGGCATAGTGATAGACTGTATGATTGACTTCATAATCATACCAACTTGTTTAGTCAGTTATTCTCAGGTGTTTTTCTACTATCCTTATTATTTTATGGATTAAGTGTATCCTTTCTAATGAAAAACCGGTCATATTTAGTCTATACTCGAAAGGATCTCAGAAGTTATTCAAATTACCTACAAAATATTCTTCCATATTTCGAAAGCTTCAACATCTTGAGCGTTCATTGACATGGTTTCAATAAACAAAGATGAACTGGAGATCGTTTTTCAAATATCAGACATTTTTTAATCGAAGCAAAGGCCGGGGCTGTTTCTTTTTATATTTTCAAAGTATTTTTTTGAACAAAAAATGAAGAGAGGTTGACTTCAGAAGTGAAATGAAATGATTTGAGAGCTAGGAGGCCATGACATCATATTCTGTTAACCTATATCAATTGAACAAGTTTTCGAAATAACATGTTCCTGTTTCAAATCATCTAAAAGAACAATTCGCTCAGGCCAGTCTCAACTCCCTACACTATAGGTTAATGGACTGACACCTATCAGAAAACAACTGCTCCCCTGGCTAATACCACAAAGGGCGTTGAATTATATCCTACAGGTGTCAGTGCAGGATTTTCCACTGAAGTTTTAGGTGTCAGTCTATTAATCTACAGTGTAGGGAGTTGAGACTGGCCTGAACGAATTTTTCTTTTATATGATCTGATTTAAGACTGTCTATATGACTATAGACTATAAGTGAAATGTTTCTGTTTCTCAACTCTCAGATCAAGTGCTGATTTTTCATTCTCTCTGTGAAAATAAAAATGAAAGGATTTGATGTAAATTTTGTAGGACAGAAATAAACATTTTTTTTGACAAATTGATAATTTAAAGTTTTTCAATTATGAGGAACACTATATTTCACTCTGTATGCCAGAAATATCAACTCAGAAAGTTTTTCAGGAAAGCTTGAAGAGCAGTTATGTAGATATTCCTTTATCTGGTTCATCAAACTTTTCAACGAGATATAAAATAAAAATTTTGTTTTATAGTTACATGCCCAACATTCTACTCATTGAAAAGTAATCAACAGAATCAGCACTATGTCAGATTACTTACCGATGTTGTATATACATTTATGTAAAGACAATCTTCTGAACCAGTTATATCAAGTGTGCCTTGTACACATTCCGGTTTTTCTTTAGTAGCGTCTAGTATACCACTCCAATTAGAATTTTTTTCCGGCGGCTGAAATGAAAAACAACTACTGCTTTGAGATTCACATTATTTGTTCCACTACTCTGACATGGAAATGTTTTCTCGTATCTCGAGTTGAGGCGTGCTTCAGATACCTTCCTCTGTATGATTTGAAGTGCTTTTTCTACAGTAACGTTGATGTAAATGGTTTCCACGTCGAAACATATTGATTGATTCTGCTCTGTGACTTCGATTGATCCTAGTAATTCGACAAAATGCCTTGAATTTTTCACAAAAGATGAAGTTTCTCTTTGTAGTGGTTGTATTATGGAAAGTAAAAATCTCAACAAGTTTTGAGTAGCTGAATCTCTGGAGCTAATGATCGGTCTGAACGGAACACCCTCCTTGTGGATTTTGGGTAGTCCATACAAGTGGGGTGCAACTGGTACAGCTTTCCCTCAATTGATCCAGTAGAGTCCCGTACAATCTTGTATTGTCCCTTCTCAAGAATATCTTCGATCTTCTGTTCGTAGAAATCAATAGCGTTTTCCTTATCTGTAGGTAGAATCTAGATAATAATATATCTGATCATCGCACTATTTTATACCGATTGGGCATTGAAAACGATATAAAACCTCCGGCAACAACTATCAGGAGGAGTTATAATGATGGATTGATTCAAAATTTTCTGAGTGAACTTTCAAAGGAAAACTGGGAAGATGCTTTTTCTGTAAATGATTAAGATAATGCATAATGCATTTTCGACTGTTCACGTTGTTTTTCCTCACTACTTAAATTTGTTTCCCCTTACGCAGTTATTGCTCGAATAACTCAACAAAAAATACTGGGTAGATGATAACATCAAATTATCAAGTTATCATTTGAAACATCTATACTCTTTGCGAGAATTTTCACGTGATTATGACAATATTTATAAAGAAGCCAAGAAGCAACATGTGAACTCATAAAACATACAAAAAAGCCTATTACCAAAATTCTATAACAAACTCTAACAACAAAACCCATGAACAGCATGAAGAATAATATCAGAGGTCACAAATAAAACTAAAGCAAAGACCGACAATAATGGAATAATAAAAAATGATGTTGTTCATATAGACCCCTCAGCAAATCGCGGATATTTTCAACGACTTTTTCACTTCTGCACCTCTGGAATTGAACAATAAAATTCCTCCTACGAGCTTACATGAGATAGAAATGATAATTTCCAATAGATATACACTACACTTGGAGCCCTTGTTACCAGATGAATGACAAATCCTTCTACATAACAAAATAAAAAATAAAAAATCAGCTGGGTCGGACGAAATCCCGAACTTTCTAATAAAGTTATCACTGCCTCATATTATCCTTCCGATGACTTATTTGGTAAATTTGTCATTCGAAACAGGACACTTCCCACAAATGTTGAAAATAGGAAAAATTATCCCAATTCAGAAAAGGATCGATACTCGACAGCTCATCAATTATCGACCAGTTTCTGTTCCAAGTAGCTTTTCCAAAATACTAGAATATGCTTTTCTTGATTGATTAGAGAACTTCTTGAACAAATTTAAAATTGTAAGCGAACAACAACATGGTTTCCGCCCTGGTATGTCTACCAACACGGCTATACAGTCTTTTGATTCAGAAATATTGAAATTCATTGAGGCCGGCGAGTGTCCGGTGGGTATTTTTTGTGATCTTAGTCGAACGTTCGACTGTGTCGTTCATACAAAGCTAGATAAACTGCATTCTTACGGATTGAGGGGTGTTTCTCAAGATTGGATAGCATCATTTTTGAGAAATCGTGTGCAATATGTGAGCATGAAGTATAAAAATCATAATAAAGTAGAAAATGTATCATCTTCAAACTTAGAAGTCAATGTAGGTGTCCCGCAAGGCTCTATTTTAGGCTCATTATTATTTCTTCTCTACGTTAATGAAATCGATACAATATTTCCTAGGATGAAATTAACATTATATGCTGATGATATATCATTGATTATTTCTAACAAATCTAACAATATCTTACAAAATGAATGCGAATCTATATAGAGTCTTTGATAAAGTGATTTTGGTCAAATAAATTATCATTCAATACAGACAAAACAACTATTGAAAATTTTCAGACAGCCCAACAACACAATGAGGACTTCAAAATCAAACTATCTAGTCAAGAAATTGTAACCAGTGATACTGTGAAATTCCTAGGTATTGAACTAAACAAAAATCTTAAATTCAAAACACATTGCGAATCATCAATATCTAACCTTAATTCATTTTATTACTTGATCTATAATATGAAGACTATTCTAACTCATGCACAATTAATGAACTTCTTTTGATTTTATATCTTGTAAAAATCTCAAACGAACAATTTCACATATCCAAAGTTATTCTAACTTCTACTTTTCAATCTACCTTAGCGAGATCTACGAAGAATGTTGAAATGTACAAATTTTTTTCAAAACCGAAATTGAGCATTCTTTAGGATGAATATTACTGTAGTTTTTTTCCGACACCGAACCGTTATTTTTAGCACCTTGACACGTGTTTCAATCACCACAAGGTGTCGAGGTATTATAATAACGGTTTGGTGTTAGGGAAAAATAAAAACCAAACAATTTGTATCTGGAAAACAAAGTTATACATACCTCTTGCACAAGTAGATTGTAGTTGGTAAGAGACTGAAGCAGATCCAGCGCTTTCCCCAAAAATGGTTATTCTATTAGGATCGCCGCCAAAGCGATCGATATTATGTTTTACCCATTTCAGTGCTAGACATTGATCTTTGAGGCCTATGTTTCCAGGAGCTACTTCGTCGAGAGTACTAATGAATCCAAAAACTCCCACGCGATAATTGAACGATGCGTAAACCACGTCGGCTTCAAGTAACCAATCAGGTGGGTATTGAGAATAAGATGAATTTCCAAGGACGAATGATCCACCGTAAATGAACACCATAACTGCTTTTTTTTGAGTCAGCTGCAATAAATGAAAATATTTTACATGCAATGAAAAACTGAAAATGAAGTTTCTGTAATTCAGAATGAAAAAAGTGACTTATTCAATATTGAATTGATTCATTTTGCAATAAATCCCATTATAATATTGAATCTTTTGACACTTCTGACCAGTATTATTCCCGATAATTTTAGATAACAATACTATTGAAAGAGATCATTTTTCGATATATCAAAACCAATTCAAGATATTTCAAAACCATTAAACATACAAACATCAATATCAAAAACAAGCAAAAATGTGTGAATGAATGAAATAATGAATATTGGATAGTTGTAGGATAGTTTTTTTTAAAACGATTCACTGGAGTAGACACGCTAGGCAAATATAGCCTGTTTTGTGATGTCTAAATCAGCATGGCATTTGTACAATTGTATGTCTTATGTAATTGTAATACAATGGCAAGTGAAGTTTACTTACATTTTAATATGAATATAGACAGAGGATAAGAGAGAGAATTAATTAAAAATTAGGGTCAAATGAGATTTGTTAATTTGAAATATTTCAATTGGGGTATATCCGCTTGGTGTGGTATTATTGTTAATTTTCGGTAGTGTATACAGTGATACACAAAATACAGTTTTGTCCACTAAGTGTGCAACATATGGGAAATTTTTTGTTATCGATTACTCAGAAAATTTCTTTCTCGACAAAAGTTGGTACGTGTTCCAAAACTATACCAAGTGTACCTGAAATGACTTTATGACAAACACCATACAGGATAGGCCATAGAAATATTCCTTTTGGAAAATTTTGAATTACCCCCGTATGATACATATTTTTACATATTGAACGAACTTTATATTTCTATGGCCTATCCTGTATGGTGTTCGTCATAAAGTCATTTCAGGTACACTTGGTATAGTTTTGGAACACGTACCAACTTTTGTCGAGAAAGAAATTTTCTGAGTAATCGATAACAAAAAAATGAACGATGTTTCGTGATCAATAAGCTGATTTACTTTTTACTTTATCGGAGTAGTATAAGTTAGTGTCGTCTGCATATGTACATTGAATAACTTAAGAACCTTGGAGAAGTCAGATGTGTAGATGATTTAGAGTAGCGGGGCGTGAAAGAACTTTTCACGGGATTTGATTTTCTTCAGAAAATATTATCAGAATGATTTATTTATGGAACCGAGAAAGTAACGAAATTGCTATTTCAATAATTCCATGACCGTTTGATACCTGAATTGTGTTTTGATATCTTACGCTAACAGTGTTATTACTTCCCTGAAGATTATTTTCTTCTGTATATCTTCATTCAGAAAATACTCACACTGAATCTCAAATTGCCCAAAGGTGGTTTTGCATAAGGTATTCCCTGGAATGTTATATATGGTTTCTTCAAGTCAACTGTTTCATCATGACGGCCACGAATTTTACCATCTTCAATTGTCACGATGGGATCTCCCTCACTCTGAAAAAAATAATGATTGTCTACGGAAAAGCTACTGTGATAGCAAAACATGTCGTGATATATTTTTGAAAATGAAGTTTGTGAAAATCAAATCGTAAGGTGAATTTCATGAATTCACTATAGATCTTCAGCAAGTGACGGCTAAATCAATCGGACAAAAAGTAACCATCGTGTGGAATTGAATGCATTCAATATATTTTTTCAATCTATTCAAAGAAGGCAAGGATTTGAAAAAAAGAAATTGGAGTGAAAATACGAGAAAAAAAGTCAGAAATGAGCACAGCAGGTAATTTTCATCAATGGGTATAACCTTTCATGTTTTCTGGTTGAACTTTATTTTCCGTCTCATTATCAGATGATAGTAGCTGACAAAACACTAATCAATAAATATTACTGGAGTTTTTTCCCAACACCAAACCTTTATTTCAACACTTCGACACGTGTTTCGACCACTAAATGAGCATCTTCAAGAGGCAGGTCAAACTACCTTCGTCTTGAAGATGATCACTTGGTGATCGAAACACGTTCGAAGTGTAGAAATAACGGTTTGGTTTCGGGAAAAACCGCCAGTAATATTCATTACTACACCAAAGGTTCCAAACAGTGCATCACAAGTAGACCACTATTTGTTTAAACATGATTTTCTGAGTGCTAGAATGTAGATTTTGAGTCAGTCATTTTGATGAACAGAATATCCTGCCCTACACATTTTTACGTGTCCTACACCATGAACGCTACTTGTTGCGCTGACGAGCTAGGAAATGTACTGAGTGCCAAACACTCCGTTGCCTAGATAGTTGGTGCAATGCCACTTGCTTTATTATTTCGCCCGTTTTTTTTTGCTATGCTGCAATCCACATACCATATTTATTCATTTGCTAGCGTGCCAGTAAGTCGTCCTCGTACAAGTTAGAAAAGTTATTTCACATATTTTGTTTGTTTTGTGAATGTAGGCCAATATGAATCAGGGCGGAGAAGAGACTATAATTGAAGCTATAAAAACGTTTGATAGTAGAATAATTGACATAGACCAAAACATTTTCATTCTGAGAACCACCATCGAAAGAGATGTTGATATTACTGCAAATAAAAAACTTTTCTAAAACTACTTGCACAGAGTGGACTGTAAACAGAACATATCCTGAAATAAAAAATTGCAGTATCGAAAAGATTGGGTCTGTCGGCACAATGCTCAAAATAAAGAAAACGAAACAAGCAGCGTTAGGAAAAGGAACAGGAACTGCGGTGCCAAATTTTTTATTGAGGTTAAAAATGAAAACAAATTTTCTAGATGCAGGGATCCCTTGCTCAAGGAAGGCTTAAACATCATTGTAGAAGTAAGTTCGTTTGAAGTTGTAATATTATAACAACAATGATAATTTACTAACTTTTAGTTGCATCTCACGCATCGCCACAGAGTTACGATGGCAAAAGCCCATAGCTATCTAAGAGTAAGCGCGTCTACGAAAGATCAATTTTTGAAGTACTTCAGTGAAGAATTGACTCCTAGCGAAGCCAAAAATTTCCATAAGTCGACACTAATGGCTGCCACTTCAAGTGATAAAATATGTGAAACTCTTGCCAATACCCAAGTAAATCATATTTGGAACGATCAATTCATCATTTGTATGAACAATGGAGGTACATACACTGAGAGAAATTTTTTGCTCCGATAGAGATATTTTTTACAGCACTAAAACCGTGATATATAGCAGAGTGGTTATCAGCCACGAAAAAGTAGTTATTCAATATCAGTAAAATTTGATACTGTTAGCAAAAAAAATGTCAGCAGCAGTTACTTTTCAAACAGAATTTTCTCAGTATATTTCTGTTAAAATTTGTTTCCAATTACAACTTTTATAAATATTCAACTCATCTCTGTAAAAAAAAATATAGTGAAAGAACAAGCGAAAGCGTTTTTGAATAGCTGATGGAGAAGAAGGCACCTTTTGAAGAGAATGGAACAAGACGCTTATAAGCGAAGAGTCGTTTTGCTATCTTGTGGTAACGCCCTTAATGCTAAGAAAATCGATACTATCGAAAATATTGAGTCGTTTGCCAATATCTGCACAAGCATTTGTCATGTGAAAAAAACGAGAAAGATAAAAGTCCAACCTACTTCTATTGCACGCCGGGCAAATAGAAGTTTACATGCTGGCCCTAGAGCAATACAGGCAGGTAGGNATGAGAATACCTAATGACATTCATTCGCTCATTTGATTAAATCCCAGCCGTAGAAATCTTGTTTCATTTGAAAGAGGTATATTTTTAGGATAAATTGATTTTTTGGAAAGAATTGAAGAAGTAATAACAACACAACAATAATAGCCCTCGTTTCTGATATAAGGTTTTGACATTTAGTCTCCATTATTTCAAAATCATAATAAGACAAATAATAATATCTCCAGAAGACATAATGTTCTGAAAAATACATTTTCAACTTTGACCCAGGGGAGTGGCTCAGTTTGAGCATAAAAAAAATCTAGAGCAGAAGAAAAATATCGTAATATTTTAGATTTGGAAAAAAATCACAAAGAGATTATCCTAATTTCCAGTAGATGGAACGACTTTAGATATGTGACATTGGTAATTTGGTTTAGGTGTTGGGTTTTTCTTAGATTCTATGTTTGTATTTGCAAATCAGCATAAGAACAGAACAAGTATCTGTTTTCTAACTGGTAGATAGTAGATGAAATAAAAACCTTAAAAATGTCAACAAAGTTTGTTTTACTCCAAAAATGACTTATATTCAATATTTTCGATAGTTTTCACTTGGCCAAGATAATTCAAACAGATTCACAACCAGTCATTGATTAATTTTTATTAGTCTCCCATTTTTTTATACAAATTTGACATGTGACTTACCGACCTATCCCTAATATTGATGGATGATTTTTGCAAACTATTTACGATACATGTGACCAGTATGATAGTTTTCATGTACATTTTATTCATTTATTGTAAACAAATAGTAACATTGGTTTTTATATAAGAAAGCAATCTTATCAGTATATATTAGCATAGGATTCTGAAAAATATTATTTCTGAATATTTCACACCATACTCACTGGCTGTCAACAAAAAGGAATCCAAGATTTTTAGAAACATATCAATACATTGAAAGCATACCACAATAAACTGTTTTGAAGAAAACAGATAGTGAAACCTCGTCACAAATTCAAATTGAAATTCTAGTGCAGGGTGAAAATAAAGTTTATATATGGTAAAAAATAACTATGAGGAATGTTAATGATGTCAATTCTGAGCACGTACACATAAAATCTGAAAATCAGGATTTGTTCTCTTCGACGGTCTCGTCGATTATCGCTGCTTACTTAAATGTTTATGCTTCTCTCGCTTAATTGGTGGAAGGTGAATGTTACAATGAACATTTCCAATACTATACTCCTGATGTGAATTTAAAATTGAACTATGAAGAAGTTACCGTTGAAAGTTCGCACAAGTATTTCATACTTTTTATACGTTACATAACCAGGGTTGTGTTTGTAACTATCTGCTGTTTGCCAAATTTGCCTACATGGAAATAAAAGCCATGAAGACTTAGAGATAACTAACTGCGGCTGTTTAAACAGATAATGGTCACATACTTAGTAACAAGTGAGAAAGTGAGGTCAATGACATCTCCCGTTACGAAGACCCCATCTATAGGATCGACAGAGAACTCAAGCTCTGAATATAAAAGATAAAGATTAACGATGCTCCCCAAAGCAGTCAGTGACAACATATCTTCGTCACTGCTTGAGAAAGCCATGTTGTAGTTTACAAAATCAACATACTGGTCAATAAGGAGTATTATCTTGAAGTTATGCACCGCCTGCGAAAAGCAATACGAAGAAAACGTGTGGTATTGTGAAAACACAATCATGGCTTTTGCATCAGGATAATGCGCCTGCTCACTTATAATTGCCTAAAGGTAATATGGCAATGTGATGCACTGTTTGGAACTTTTGGTGTGGTAATGAATATTAATGGAGTTTTTCCCAACACCAAACCGTTATTTCAACACCTCAACACGTGTTTCGATCACCAAGTGATCATCTTCAAGAGAAAGATCTTCCTCGATTATAGGGAGCAGAATCAGTAAAATCAATACATTGGTGAAAGGAATTCCTAAGCCAGTGGTGCACATTTCCCAAGACTAGGTCTAAGCAGCACCCTATCTAGCGTCTCACTTTCCGGAGGTCACCTATGAAACTCTGCAATCCAAGAAGACGATGGATACAACAATTTGGCCAGAAGATGCCATACAACGTTTTTATTCCGGAAAAAAATCCACACGGCAACAATTTGACCGTATGTAGAAGCTTGAAATAGCCTATTACATCCCAATATTCAATGTCTAACAGAACGAAGCTTCTAGGACTATTTCTTGAACAAATTCATTTCAGTGTTATTTGCTTTAGTGATCATTGGCTGAACGAATCCAAACCTAAAAATGATTCATCTGTCTAATTACAAACTGCAATAATTTTTCTGCAGGACCAAAATAATACACGGGAATGTATGTATATTATCTGGAAATAAACTGTCGAATCTCAAACTCGCAGAACTTTTTTGTGGAAATACATGCTGAATTTTGTGGCATTGTGTTGAAACCTCTTAATATAGCTATTGTCGTGGTGTACAGGTCTTGCAGCCACGGTAAGTTCGAAACTTTCATTACCAAATTCACTGACATGATGGACTTTGTGACAGGTATATACACTAATATAGTTGGGGCAGGAGATTTCAATATAGACTTGAATGAAGACTTTCGCACTCTCAAATTTGAAATGAAGTCATAATTTCCTACGATCTCAAAATAATATTCGATGACATCGTTTATCTATATATAATGAACGGTGAGGGACCCAAGTGACTGCCCTGAGGTACTCCAGAAGGACAAGGAAACAATTTGGATTCAGATCCATTCGCTATAAATTTTTGTTTGCGATTTGTTATATACGACTGAATCCACTTTGATAAATTTTCGCTTACCCCACTATAGTTAGTTTGTTCATCAGGGTAGGGCAGTGTTTCTCAAAGTGTGCGCCGCGGCGCTCTGGGGCGCCGTGGAACCTTTACTATGGCGCCGTGGGCCACGGGTTAGTCTCGAAATACAACGTTTTACAACATAGATAACTGAGAGTAGAGGTAATACGTCGGTAGTGACGGTACCGGTTCAGACAGCCACATTTACGTTCGGGGCGCCGCAATAACCTTCAAAAAATATAAGGGAGCCGTGAATTCAAAAAGTTTGAGAAACAATGGGGTAGGGTGATCTACCCTATCGATCGCTTTACTGAAGTCGGTATAGGTATATTAAATCAATCTGTATACCACTCTCCATATTTTCTCTTAGGTGATCAGAATAAACAGTTAAATTGGTTTCTATTGATCTTTTGGGGGAAAAACCATGTTGTTCATTGAATTTTTGCTTCATATAATAAAATATCATAAATCTTTTTTCCAAAAGTTTACCAAATGTAGATAGCTTGCTGATGGGCCTGTAGTTTTTGAAATTCGATTTGTCACCTGATTTGTGAGCTACATGAGCTATTTTCCACAATTCAGGTAATGTAAATGCGAGTGATACCTAGATTATTAAGTACTTGGTTTTGGGTTACTTTTGTGACTCGTATGAGAGTATCAGATAATGATAATGTAAGAGTTTTTGGTTGAGTACATACAGATTCAAAAAAATCTGCAAATGAATTACATGTATCACTGCCGTTGCTGGCAGAGGAGTTGATGTAATTGACCTCATTGGACTAATGAATATCCACATATCTCAGCTTGTTTCGAAGAGATTTCAGTTCCGTACTGAAATAAGGGCGATGCATGATCTCATCAAAATTATGTGAGGTTGGAATAGTTCTAAGGACAGAAGCAGCATTACTACGTTGAAAAGCAATACTAATTCTTTCATATCAAAAAAGAGGTAAAATGGTGATGTTTCGTTGCTTGGCCTATTCTCCTTTCGAGTTCATGAACGAATAACATTAACTCCGGGCCATAAAAACAATCCCAACCGCTAATGGATGGAACAGATAGTTGTTATCAAGATTTTGGTATTTTTTTCGTTTCAATTTTTTGACAGAAAATAATGCTGCGGTTCCAGCAGACTTTGAACATTCGGCTGGATGGGACCGCGACCGTGTCAACGCAAGTGAAGTCCCATACCGCAGGTTTACCGTATTTCCAGACATACTATCTGGTCGACTGGATCCTAAGGGTTCTAGAATTGCAGAAACATCCGCTGACACCATAGCTCGTTTCAATATGTCCTTCACCTGGTGATGTCATGATGTACGCCCTGCACCTTTCTCATCAACTATACTACCGCAAACACAAGTATGAGGCACAAAAATAGATAAACCCATCCTAAGTCCTACTGCTATTCTTAAAGATTCATTGTCTAATAGTGTTACAAGAGATGTAACAATATGTAGGGAATCTGCTGTCAGATCCAATGACTGGAATATTTTCATCAATAATTTCATTCAATTCCCTGTAGAAGACATAAACTGTGGTTATCAACCCTTTAGTTATGAAATATTCTCTTCCAATCGGTATTAATCAACATTTCATGTATTTTTTCAAAATTCGCTTTGTTGAAGTTCTTGTTGGATTCAAGTGAATTTCTTAATGATTCAACCTCATACTCAAATGTGATATTTAGTGAAGGATGGTGCTGAGAGTCCTCTGGCACCAATAGATCATCGGAATGTTCAACGGATTTAATGTGATTTTCGTTTGATAACACAAGATCTTACAGTTTGTTGTTTCTATTATAAAGTTGCGTTGAATTGCATGAGTTGAAGATAAGAGAAGGAGTCTATCAGTTCAACATATTTCTTTTCAAAATCCCAAGGCTCCAAGTATGAATAATTTTTTAGGAATCCATTTTACATCAGACATGTTGAAACCACCTAAGATAATCAGGCCTCCCTTCAAGTTACTAGACTAGGAACTTAAAGTATTATTCAAAAACTTCAACAAAGTCTCATAAAAACTGATTTGGATTTTTCCTCAAATACAGTAGAAAATACAGCAAACTCCTTTGCAGGTTATCTCACTAATAAACACTTTACACACTTTGGTATGTAAACACTTTCCAGAAAAGAAACAGAAAATGGTGAGAAAATCACCTGTACATTTTTTTAATTATCATGTTCAGGCCATGAAAGTTATCTCAGATTGCACAGGCACTAATGTAGACAAGCTTACTCTTCCTTTGGAAAATAAAACACGATTCAATGAGGATTTAGAAAAAACTGCTTCACAGTTAACAGGTCTCAAACTCTGTGATTTATCTATGGCGTTTGGTAATGTCTCCCATGAGATGCTGCTTGCAAAGCTTGAACACTTTGGGGAAAGGGTTTCCCACCGAACCTCATAAGGTCCTATTTGACCAACCGTCAACAAGTGGTATCGATCAACGGAACCACTTCGATATATTGATCATGGCGTGCCACAGGGATCCGTTCTTGGGCCACTGTTGTACACCATTTCTGTCAATGACATATTCCATTACTTTCTTGATGATACTTCATTAATTAATTCGCACTATAGTCGACTACAGCATCTTAAGCTGAACTGTGGTTTACGAAAAATAAATTCAAAATGAATAATGATAAAATACAGCACATCATATTTCCTCTAATAACAATATTTCGAAAGGATTCACTGTTAAACTTCTGGGGATAACTCACGATGATGAATTGAAGTGAAATAGTCACATAAACCATTTTTGCAATAATCTGCCTAGCCAACTATTTTAGCTACGTAAGCTGAAAAATATTGTGGAAAAAGATGTAATATTGATTACAAACCACTGTTTTTTTCATTCGGATATATGCTATGGTACCATTTTAAGGGGAAATTCTAGTCAGGGATCAGGAGTATTCAAGTTGCAAAAGAGGGCATTGAGAATAATCGAAGGTACGCGTTACGAC